TCTAAACGCATTATTTCATTTTAACATGTATATATATTTTTTTATAAATGGATTAAACTATTTTGAAAACACAGTTTTGTTTTTTAAAACGTTTGCAAAACTATGAAGAATTCCATCGATACCAATCACGCCATCTATATGCAACTTTTAGCAATAATAATGGCTATTTCCTCATTGAGTGCCACTGATTATACTAAGCAAATAATTATTTTATTCATATATAATAGTTGTGTTTTCAAGGCTTTGTTTTGATTTAAAGGTCCCATCCTTATATGTATATTAGGTGTGTCCGTGACTTCGTCAGCGTGGTATAATGAAATTGACCAAATAAAGGAAATATATTTAGATTATAACCTAAAAAAGTTTCTTTTTTTCAATTAAACAATGACGATACTTTTATACAACCTTTCATCTCCGCTTTTAATCCCTTACAATACTTTTTTCGCACTATAAAGTAGTCTATGACCTTTCTCAGGGTATACTATCTGTGTATATGTATATCTATCTATATAGACTACCTGTGTATATATATGGTAGTGAATTTACAATGTACAGGGGAATAACACCCGAGTTTTCAGGAATGGCAACGCATGAGGGAAACAATGTGCTGATATGAACATGGCAGGTACTGCTCATGTATATAGGCGACGGTTACCCCTTTCCATCAGGAGAGCCGTCAGCTTGTTTGCCATTCTAAGTTGTAAAACAAAAGCTTCAACTGCTATCATTGCTGTTCCTGCATCATTGACGTCGCCGCATGATATTGGCTGATATTGCAGCTTCTCGTTCTTGGTTGGCCGATTCTTGATTCTTGATAAATAATTAATTGTTAATGTCAAACCTTTTTATAAATTATTATAAGATGCCTCATTGATTATATGTAATGAAATCACCATGAGCTATAGAGATTTTGGACAGAACCTTAAAAGACCTTAGAAACACCTCTGCTCTCATTGGCGGGATTACTTTTATACTTTTGCTGGAGATTTCTGAAAGACTCTCTGTGTCATTAACATCGTCTCCCTTATGGACTTTAATTGAAAGTTTAAAACTACTGACAAATTTGAGAGCTCATTTTTATGGAAGCACAGATAGTGATTTCCCACACTAAATGCTCAAACTTGAGGAAGGAATTTCTCAAAAGCATGATCCAGTCAAATCTCAAATCAAATTTAAGCCCGCCGAACATATGCAATGGCGTCCCATTGGATATATTGCTTACTAAAGAATTGAAAGACAATTTAATTGTAGACCATTATAACCGGTACGTTAGCTGGGCAACCAGCTTATATACCAAGAATACCGATGATTCCAACTGATCTGCCAATACCATTTTAACGGCTTCAATTTCCGGTTAAAATATCATCTACACATGTAATAGATTTATGTATGTTTTGATCTTAAAAAACTACGCAGATTTTGATTCGTTGTTATTTAATAGACAGAATAGATAGACTCAAGAGGAAGGTTTATATATAACGTCCCAATACTGTAAACGCGCGATAACCTATATATCCCATATTCACGCGGGCGAAGCCGCGAGCTAAAAGCTAGTCTCTAAATAAAAACATTTATAATGTTGTTGACTTTTCACCCAAACACGTATAATTATTTGACATAACTGTACAGTAATGAAAGTCCAACGAGTATAATAACAGAATAGCTGCAATTTAGAAATATCTGTATTGTGTAAAATAAAATAAAATTGGATAAAATATCTCTAAACATTAAGGAATATAATTTATATATAATTTGGTAATTTATTTACAATCCACATTGCATACTAGATGATATACACTATATAACACAAGACAAATGTACGTAAAAATAATAATGGTATTTTTATAAACAATAACCGTATTTTAATTTAGAAAAAAACTACAAAATAAACATAGAGTAAAATTGGTTTACATTTTCTTACATTTTTCTCTCAGATAAGCGTTATTTTTAAAAATACTAAAATGTTCTCTTTTTTAATTTTAACAATTAATTGCCATTAGTGTGACGAAATACCATGCTCTTGTGCTTTTCATAGTCCAGCAGGGTAGGTAGGTTTTATTTGTAGCATAACTGTACTTTTGTCTTGGCATGCTAAAATAAATAGTATATATATATATTTAACAACAACTTTAAATTAATATTCGTAGAAATAAGTATATATTAGCAAAATTAATTAAATATTACTTAAATTATCAAAATGGTTTAGTCGCTCTATACTAATGTTCACTGACGAATGTCTTATCTTAGCGGTGTTGTAAAAAATGGCATAGGTCCTACCTCGACGAGCGCTAGCGCGCCACTGAGAATTTACTATTGGCGCAACGGAATTTATACAACTTTAAATTATTATTATTGTTTATTTTTTTCTTAGAAACTTATATTTTTTTTTCATATTTCTAATTTACAAGTATATTAACTTTATTATTATGTTTTTTTTATGCAAAAATTTCGTTGTATTTATGAGAAAATTAGAAATGATTATGGCAAAGTTTTGTTGAAATTTCGGGTTTAATTATGATCAATTTTTTAGATATTTAAGTTGAAAATGAAAAAAAGGACGATGCTGTCTCAATTTATAAAGTAATTATCAAGTTTTAGTAAAGATATCATATCAATTTATGTTTGTTTATTAATGAACGACGACCCCAAACTTCTGTCATTTAGCGTTTTTGAATAAACTATTTTAGAAATTAGGAAGACTAACAAAGAGAAAATTAACATTTCAAAGATGTTGTTTTTAAGATTAGATATCTATCTATATAATTCAGGAATCAAAATGTATATCCGACTCTTAATTTCTTAGAATCAGAACCCCAAAGACACTGCTTTTAGGCCAAAAAATGTGAAAGGCCTCTTAAAGTCCATAAGGGCGACGATGTTAATGACAGGAAGTGTCTGTCAGAAATCACCAGCAAATACAAAAGTAATCACGCCCATGAGAGCAGAGGTGTTTCTAAGATCCTTTAAGGTTCTATCCAAAGCCTCTATGGCTCATGATGCCATCATCCTATATAATCTATTAGGCATTTTGTAATAATTTATCAAATCAACATGTAGATTGCTGCTCAATATTTACGGATAGCGGAAGTTTAAATGTAGAATGAGAAGTTTTTCCATCCTTTAAGAGAGTTGCAGCAATTCCTGACGATGCAACTGCTGTCGCTGTCTTCCCCGATTGTATTATCTTAGCAAGTATCTCCCTACATATGTACCCATACCCCAGTGACGCCCCTACATCACATTTGGTTGATAGCTAACAGAGGAGTAGGTTTTTTTCTAATACTTACATTGTTAAATACGTGATATCTTTCGAATGGAATACCCGAATTGAATAATTCAAAAAAATATTTACAGGTATTGAATCAGTCGTTAATATAGGGTAATTTATTTTAATAAGAATTAATACCAAGATAGAAAATAAAGATGCTTTTCTAGCGGAAGCACTTCAATTAAATTTATATAAAAAAAAACACTTATTGTGACGTAACTATAATAGATAAACATATGCCGTCGGGACACTTTTTGTAGATAATGATGTGCTCTGCAAAATTGTGGTACATTATTTTGTTCTATCATCAATAGTGATCACAGCGCATGCGGCGTTAGGTATTTTTTGTGTAATTTTTTCACACCTTGGGTTACATTATTGGAGATTTCGTAACGATCCCTAATTTTTTTGGAAATATAATATAGCCTATGACACTCAGGGACAGTGTAGCTTCCTAATGGTGAAAGAATTTTTCAAATCGGTCCAGTAGTTTCGGAGCTTATTCAATACAAACAAACTTTTCCTCTTTATGATATTTGTATGATAATATTTTCGTAAAATGAGGTCCAAAGTTTTTGCTTCGGGTATTAATATATCACAGTCAATAATCCAGTTATACATTTAATATGTACAATTATAAAAAAAAGTTTAAAACAGTTTATGTTACGTAAAAAATATTTTTATTGTATAATAATCTTTATGCAATGTATTTATAGTCGCTTTATACTTGGCGCTTAAAAATTTATTGTGCACAATGATAAAAAAAACAAAGAAGCTTAAAACAATTTATATAACATAAAATATATTTTTATTCTACAATCAACTTTATGCAATGTATTTACAGTCGTTTTACATTTGTTTTCTTTCCGAAATGAGTGGATTTAGTTTGAATACGGTTACACAAGTAACTAGTTGCAAACCATACACTAATGATTCACAAACGTGCAAGTGGGCGACAGTATACATTGTAGTTAAATGTCTCTTATAAATAACAAGACAATGAGATCAACTTTGTGATTCTGCAAATAATGCATTCTTGCCGAGACGTTTACATATAAAAACAGCTTCACATCTTTATTCTTAACTAGGTGATCCGTAAATATAAACATTTCTGTGCTGTCTGTTGCAACGCTTTCTATATCTCAGTTAAATAAATGTATCGTACAACAAACAAACGTTAATTCCTTCATTTTTGTGTTTATCTAATATTTTTATTGTTTTGTAGAGACGTATATAATATAATTATTCATGTTTACGTGTGTTTGAAATATCGACTACTTATGTTCAACACGGAGATTCGAAACGAGCGTGTGGAAAGTGATACATGTTCATTTTGGGAAAAAATGCTTTTGGTATATATATAACTAATAGTACTAATATTTATTCTATTATTTTACTACTTTTGTGACCATTGTGTGTATTTATTAATATAATTTATATTCTGAACTGAAAATGAAGACAGACAATTTACATGAATTTGTAACGAGGATGTCGTCTTATAATTTTTGAATTAATTAGTTAATACTTTACCGTAATTGTTACTTACTAATAAACCGAATAATCTGTATTGTAGGTATGTTTATGTTTAAAAAAATTAGTACTGTAGAATCATTGTGACGAACATCCTAACAGACTTGTGAGGTCGGAGCAGGTGGCCAATAATTTAATAATATTAATTTGGTGGCCAGTAATTTAATCATAATTAATATTAATTTATTTTTATCCTTTTCAGAGATGGAATCGACTGTCCCGCCTGCAAAGGTCTATATTTTCAGCACTATTCCTAATAATAGCAGCTAGTGTAATATTGTTTTACTCTTCGAAGGTGAATACGACAGATTTATATAAGAATGGTGATAGTAATATAATTATGGTGAGTGGTCATTACATTATCATCATCTGCTTTTTCCTTATCCATTTATTTGGGGTCGCCGTAAAAAGTTTTTCTCTTCCATACATCCCTGTTCGCAGTCACATAGTTATTTACTCCCTTTCTTACCATATCATCTTTCACAGAGTCCATCCATGTTTCATCTGCTTCTTCATATGTAACACCTTCCTTAAAATATTATCTTCATTCCTACGCATTACATATTCATACAAGGATAGACATTACACTTCAACCTCTCCGACACCGGCGCCATTTTCATACTTCCTCTAATGTATTAATTCTTTATCTTATCCATTTTTCACACCACACATCCACTGCAACATTCACATGAGTGGTCATTACATGTATTAGTTATTTATAGTTGGACAGCAGGCCGGTTGTCTATCCCCCTTGGTCGCATCGTAGTTAATTCGCCACGATGTGCTAACTGACCTGATTACATCCTCTTTATTTAATCACCCGCAGGAGTATTAGTCTATATATATATATTTGTTAAAAAAAAGGCTGTTTCTAAGCGTCTATTGGGGAAACTTTTTAAAAAGTTGACGACTTTTCAACTATTTTATTTTCTTTGTGAGCTGTGTTATGTTTTAAGGGTAAAGATAAGGAAAGAAGAAAATATGTGACATTATATTATCACGCATAAAAAAAAACAAGCAACGCAGACAACAACACACACATAAACACATGCTTGTTTGTTCACACATGATAGTAGTAATAAAAAAAAAATCACGTCCCCCAAATACTCTAATATAGGGTATTACAGAATTTGGGGGCATAATATCTTAATTTTTTGCAGTGATATTATAAGCACAGGATAACGTGATGTCCGCATTGTTGTTTTTTTAATGCGTGATAAAACAATATTGCATATTTGCCTGCGCTAACGGTTTACGATGGCGGGGCACCGTTGAAGGATGATAGGATGAGTTTAAAGTCAGATCAATTATCCAGTCCATCCAGAAGAATTATTCACGATGTTTACCTTCTTCCTACCTATGTGCTGGTGGAGAAATGACTTTATTTATGCATTGAAATAATGTATTACCAAGATTTAATATTTAGAGCGTCAGCAATAGTATTCGAAAATGGTTGATACGCTTCGGGCATAAGGCTTTTTTGTTAATGGTTAAACAGATTTCGGAAGTATTCAAGTTCTTTATTAAACTTAACTCCTTTGTGTTACGTTTACATTCAGCCGCTTTCCCTGCCACTCGCGTTACCAGAAATATTGCCGGGCGACAACTGAGCGACAGGGCTGAATGTAAACACATTGCCACTCGCGCTGCCAGTCCTTTGACTCGCGCATGAAAAACCGACAATCGAAGGAGCGCCGGGCAATGCGAGTGGCATTGGAAGTATCGTGTTGACACTCTCGCGCTGCTCACTTCCCTGCCCATCGGGCTGAGTGTAAATTGAGCTTTAAATGCATAAAGTCTGCTAGACCTCAGTAGTCTTATAAATAGCATTGTCATATTTCCGAGAAAGTCGCCAGTGTTATTTCGTGGAACTATATACATTGGCAATCTTATCACATTTTGCTTTGTAAATAAGAATTGAATTTCATTAGCACACAAATTGCAATGTAGGCGCAGCCGGTAATGGAGCTTATCATTTGCAAATACAGCAGTCTAGCTCACTGCTTACAGCAACTGTCTGTGTCTGGTATATTAATTACATTCCAGATAAATGTTATCTCGATTCGGTTAATGCTGAGATTTTTTTTGTTCTAAATTATTGATAATGGTCTGGTGCAACCGCCTGAGCTAACGGCGGCGACTATACACTGGCGGCACACCAGTGGAGGATCACATCCTGAGCATGAGATCAGGTTATTACCCATCGTGCCAAATTCACTAGGAATTACCATGATGACTTCCAAGAGATAACGAGAAACCTAACATAGTGGCTTATGTGATTTACACATTAGACGAAAGATCTATGTAGGTCGCAGTGCTACAGATCCATACAATTGACAATAGCCGAAACGACCCAATAAAAAAAAAATTACCATATAGCTACCTTGTTAGCTATAGGGTCATATATCCACATTACTTACAATCCACATCCGCTGGATGAAGCTTATTTTAGTAATGGGTATTATTACTAATAGGCCCCATACTATTATATGTACTATAATAGGATAGTACCTCTTTTAAAAAATACTATCACAGAATTTTTATTTTGGTTAATCTTGGCTTTTCTACCGGTTGTATTACAAACACAATAAGAGAAGTTCCTTCTGTATTTACTAAAACAATAACAATATATACATACATACAAAATGTATACAGAGTATAACTAAGCATATATAAAAGGTAGTGAACAATATTGTTTATTATTAATTACAGGAACCATTAAAAAACGTGTCACTAGTCAATGAACCCATTGCGAACGATGGTCAACTTAAGAAGGCTGCTGAAGGTGATCCGAATGAAAGACCTATTTTTACAGGTGCGTAACAAATAACACTGTTTCGTCAATAGATGCGTACTACAAACGCGTGTTCATCTGCGTATGCACGCGAATGAAACCTCCAGTCTATTCATCTATACATATAAATAAGATTGGAGTGTCTGTTTGTAATATTGAAATAATTATTTTTTACTTTTATGCTATATGCATATGAATATATCAATACGGTACATACATACACCGAAATAACATTTTTTCCAATTTTTGTCTCTCTGTCTGTCTATCAGTCTGCTTGTTTCGACTAATCTCTGAAATGGCTGGACAGATTTTATCGGGACTTTTTTGGCAGGTAGCTGATGTAATAAAGAGTAACTTAGGCTACTTTTATTTTAGAAAAATAAAGTTAAATTCCACGCGGATGTAGTCGCGGGTACAGCTAGTTTGAACATTAATAAGTTTTATTGTCAAAAACTATAATTACATTTACAATTAAACAATAAACTATATTGCTTCTATGAGCGTCTGACAAAAATACGGCAGTGTGTCTAATGTACTTTAATCTCGCGACATCTCACCATATAGTAAATTGAAAAACACCTCACATAGTTTATGGACGTCCCCTAAGGCGTAAGGTAATTACAAAATGTATATCTAATTTTCAGGGCCGTCGAATGCGCGTCAATATGCTGTAGTAGAGAGTTTTAAACATGCATGGAAATCATATAAGGAACATGCTTGGGGACATGACAATTTGAAGCCACTTTCCGGGATGGCTTTTGATTGGTTCTCACTGGGGCTTACTATTGTGGATGGGCTGGATACGGCCTACATTATGGGTTTGACTGAAGGTAACAATTTATTTTTGTAATTATTATATATACTAATATTATAAGAGTCATATTATAAGAGTCTGTAATAGACCTACATGTTTTAAAAAAAGAATTGGACGGTTTTCTAATAATCTTAATCTTGTTATTGATATTATAAACGTAATAGTTTGTGAGTATAGATGGATGTTTGTTGCTCTTTCACGTAAAAACTACTGAACGGATTTTAATGAAACGTTACAGTAATATAGCCTATACATCAGAATAACACATAGGTTGTAAATTAAATGCGGGTGAAACCGCGGGCACAGCTAATATTTAATATATATGAAGGATACTAAGATACAATATCCATGGAGATATATATTTATTTTTTCGGAAATCGAACCTTTGAAAAAAAGTTAAAGCAGTAATCAACCTCTACACCATGACCGTGAAATATAGTCGACCGTAATAAGGCAACAATAGCGTCGTAATACAGTGCGATAACAATGATCTCGTGTACTCATGTATAAAAAATTATACTCTCAGTGTAATTTTTTCGCGTGCTACCAATAGATAATACGGTCACAGGATAAACAACACTTATGTAATACTATGTTTTGCAATGCAAAACATTTCCATAATTTTTAAAGTCATATTTAGTAGGATGCATATTAATGAATACGAAACTTAAGTCTCTTACATACTAGGCAGTGTCTCTGGCTTCGCACTGGTATACTGATGAAGGCAACGAGGCCGAATAAGTTCAATCTGTTTTTTCAAATGTATTTTATTTATATGAATGTCAGAGGTAGGCTGTAACTGTAGGGGTTTAAAATACAGCGTAAATAAATATAGTCAAATATGTATTTATTTGGTACAAGCTCATAATGTCAATAAAACAATAGAAAATACAAATCACATTATCTTTCTAAATATGAAGTTTAATTACAATTTTGTCTTTTATTCACAAAAGCCAGATATTTTAATAATAAAGTTTCAAGAGTGTTACTCTTGAAACCTTATTACATTATTGTTAATTTAAATTTATGTTGTTTATAAATATTTACAAATATGAATATGGATGGATGTAAAGGGAGGGGCGCTCTAAGAAAAGATGGATGGATTGTGTGAAAGATGATATGAATGAAAGAATATGCTCAGATATGACGACCGATAGAGAGCAATGGAAGAGAATGACATACTGCGCCGAAATAATAGGATAAAGGTACGTCAATGATGATGTTGTTTATAAATACTTTTACAGAATTTGAGGAGGGGAAGCAATGGGTTAAGAATGAATTAATATTTACAAAAAGTAAAGATGTAAATTTCTTCGAAGTCACAATCAGGGTGTTGGGCGCTTTACTCACTAATTATCACTTTACTCAAGACGAAATGTTTCTCAATAAAGCTGTAAGTATATTTCTATGTTTATTTTAGAGAGTTCCTGTTCCTGTTTTACTTATTTCAGACTTGGGGAAGGGGATTGTTAGTAATATGGTTCAATAATCCTATTGCTAGCAATGTACCATGTCAGTTTGATCTCCACGTGGTTCTGCCTGAAAACCATCGTGATAAATTTCCAAATCGTGAAAAAAACCTTACGTTCATCTTATCGTCCTGCACTGGTGCCCCGGTAAGCGTAAACTGTTAGCGCAGGCGGGTGCACAATTCCAGTATTATACTGTAAAAGAAACACACTGCAGTATTCTTTTTATGCTGTGTTTTGTTTGAAGAGTGCCATATAGCAGTGGAATTAAAGAGTATGGAACATGTCATCATAGTCCCCTGGAGTGATAGCGCATTAGAGGTACCCTGGGCGTCACACGAAGATGGCCCGGACAATTGTTTATATGTTGGCTCAAGATAAAGTTTGCTTGCTATCAAATAGGCCGCCAGCATATTAATGACTCTGGTTAATAATAAAAAAATATCATAGAATAATATTAGAAATAGAAATATTGTTTATTCAAATAAACTTAATATAAGCCGTTTTGAATAGTCATATATTTTTCATTCGGAAAACAAACTCGTCACAAGAAATGAAATTATTTATTTGCGAAATATTGGAACAGTACATAGATAAGGTTACATGAAATATTATTGTTTAACAATATTTATCACAATAGGCATGCAAATTATATGAAAGAATATCGAACAAGAAACTTAATATTTTTATTCTTTTAAATATATGTTATTCTTCATTACATATTTAAGATTCCTTGTCAATACAAATTGCCAAATATTAATAACTATAATAATAGTATTTAAAAGTGGATACATACGAATTAATTCGTTCATTCAATCGGGTCATTGGTCTCCCTAAAATGTACATACGAATTAATTCGTTCATTCAATCGGGTCATTGGTCTCCCTAAAATATACATACGAATTAATTCGGTAATTCATTCGGGTCATTGGTCTCCATAAAATATGGTTGAGTGGAGTAATAGCGGTCGATGAGTCAGCTATCATTGCATTCAACCATATTTATAACACAAAAATAGGTTCCGTACAATTTCCGTTACACAACATGAGCCCTAATATTTATAATTAATACTAATGGTGCCCCGACTCGTGCTTGTGTTTGTACATTTGCACAACGCCGTATATTATACATCTATCTACACGTCATACTCGTAAACGAGTGCTGTTTGTAGGGACTGGTCTGCTCTAATCACTACAACTGATTTAGTCTTATTTCGTTACTCAACCCGTTGGTTTTATTTTCTGTGTTACTGCCAGTTGGTAGTTTGTATTCACACACTTCAACTTAAAAATGTAAAATAACAATAAAATTATTTAAAAGGGCAACACGCAAGTTTATTGAATTCCGAATGAACAGTAGATTGAAAAAAAAATGTGATGACTATTCAAAAGTGCTTCAATTTTCATTTGTATAAATTATTTTCTATTCTATTCTATTTATACTATGTGTGTAATATGTACAGAAAGATCTGGGTGATCGTCTGATGGCAGCATTCTCATCACCATCTGGTATACCATACTCGGATGTCAACCTTGGCACCAAGACTGCACACGCGCCCGAGTGGTCCCATTATAGCACCACGGCTGAAGTTACCACAGTTCAGTTGGAGTTCAGAGAATTGTCTAGAGCCACCAATGACCCTGTTTATGAGGTAAGCTTATAATAATTATTTAAAAAATATGTTGCATGGAGAAATTAATACTATGACTGGTTTACGATAAACAACATAAATGTGCTCAATTTTATGCCTCATTAGCTGTTCCCACGACTTCGTCCGCGTGGAAATTAACTTTATTTTTCTAAAATAAAAGTAGCGTAACTCCTTATTACATCAGCTACCTGCCACAAAAAAGTCCCATCAAAATCGGTTCAGCCATTTCACAGATTAGCCGGAACAAACAGACAGACAGACAAAAATTGTAAAAAACGTTGTTTTGGTGTAAGTGCCGTTATATTCATATGCATGTAATAAGAAACGGTTATTTCAATATTACAAACAAACAGTCCAATTTTATTTATATGTATAGGTAAAAAATATTATTTTATTTACTTGATAAATATAATGTAATGTATCCTTGGACAATTCACACAGCGCCATCTAGTTCCAAGCTAATCAGAGCTTGTGTTATGGGTACTAGACAACTGATATAAATATAGAGATACTTTTTTTTGTAAATACATACATAATATACATAGAAAACATCCAGACCAGATTTGGAAGTTTTGGATCGGACTCATGAATACTAATGTTGTTACCGTGCGTAGAATCGAACCCGCAACCATCAGAGTTAAGCGGTGTACTAAACCGCTAGCCCACAGAGTGAGTCAAATGAAAAATATCAATATAGATTGAGTTGTGACATGTTCTTTTTAAAAAACATTAATTTAGATAACTCTGAAACTTATTCTTCAGGATGCAGCCGCTGCAGTGTCGGAGAAAATACACCAGTTACCAAAGAAACATGGTTTGGTGCCAATATTCATCAATCCAAATACTGGTCAGTTCCTACCACACGCCACCATCACGCTTGGCGCCCGAGGAGACAGCTATTACGAATATTTGCTCAAACAGTGGCTGCAGACTGGAAAAACTATCAATTAGTAAGTATAGTTATTTTACTGTCTTCTAATGTACTTCTTGCTATTTGTCTTGTTCCTTTGGATGTGACGCAATTGTTTTCTACTTTCATTATTTTGTGTATATATTGCATGTATTTGTATATACTTATATCTATATATCTGTATTTTATACATAATATGTTATGTCTGTGATTTTCTAACATTTCTTATATTATTCTGCATCTAATCCTATATATAAAATTCTCGTGTCACAATTTTAGTTACCATACTCCTCCCAATCTGCTTGATCGATTTTTATGAAATTTTATATGCATATTCAGTAGGTCTGAGAATCGGCTACTATCTATTTTTCATACCCCTAAGTGATAAGGGATATTCACCCCTAAATATATATTTTAAATTTTTTTGACATATTTTATTTTTATTTTGTTATTATTTAGCATTGAAAAATACATACAACCCTAAATTTGCACACTTCTATCACCAACCCCTATTTTTTAATAGTGATATTAATTTATATGGCGAAACACCGTTTGCCGTGTCAGTTAATATTATATATATTATTCAAAACTATTTTGAACTAAAAGTTTCAACAAGTATAGTTTTTGGCAGCTGTATATTGTTTTCATCCGGTGTGTGGTAATTATGATTATCCGAAACCTTATAAAGCTCATCGCTTTTATCATAATAAACGAATAAAATTAAATTGCAGTCATACTTTCTACAACCTCGGTGATCTAGCGGTCTAGCACACCACTTTACGTCCGATGGTCGCGGGTTCGATTCCTCGCACGGCACAAACATTTGTATTCATGAGTATGATTGTTTCTATCGGTCAGGGTATTTTTCTATGTATAATATGTATGTATTTACGAAAAAAAAATTATCTATGTATTAGTATCAGTTGTCTAGTACCCATAACACAAGCTTTAGCTAGCTTAACTTGGGTCTAGATAGCGCTGTGTGGATTGTCCTGAGATTATTATTATTATTATTATTACTTATTTTTTATATTATCTGACTGATATGCGTTGGTGGAGACCAGAAATGTACGTAATTTTCTCTGTCTGAATATTATGGTTATATCGCTAGCGTTACCCCAAAATTGGCACTGCGTAAGTAATTGAAGATTGGATATAAGCAATATGTAGTCTTAATTTTTACGTAAAATTAGGAAAAAGGACGGGAGCTGACCACGTTATATTTTTATTAAATTTCCGATATTTCGGCAGTTTTTCAATGTGTTTCCCGTGATCATCAAAAGTGCTTCAATGTAAGTTTATTTGAATAAATGATTTTTCTATTCATGGCGGTTGAAATCCTACCGAAATATCGAAAACTCAATGAAAATAAAACGTGGTAAGATCCTGTGATTTTTACTAATTATACGTATAAATACCGCGTCAAAATTAAAACAGTTCATTTATTTTACTTTAGGCAAAAATGGCTGACACATTTAACGATGGCAAGACTATTGTACATTGTATGATTATTGTACATTGCGTTAGATCTAATAACATTACGCTGAGCGTTCGTTGATTGACGTGCGGTTCGTTAATGATTTTTTGTTTTTATCATTTTGACGGTCGCGATGGTCTTGCGATTTAGCTCACCGCCTTATTTCCGGTGGCCGCGGGTTCGATTCCTCGCTCGGTACAAACATTTGTATTTATGAGCATGATTGTTTGTATGAGTCTCGCTGTTTTTTAAGTACATTAAGAATGTACATACAAAAATGTGTATATAGGTATTTATATCAATTGTCTAGTACCCATAATACAAGCTCTGCTGGGCGTAGGAATAGATAGCGCTTTAAGAATTGATTGTACTGAGATATTATTATTGTTTGCTATATTTTCACAGTTTTAGCTGATTTATTATTATTCATTTTCTGTTATATAACTCAATTGTATCGTTTGAGATTATCTGGCTAGCGAGCATGTAAGCCAAGCAAAGTAAGTATACAAAAGTACTATATACAAAAGGTCGCGCGTAGTAAATTTATATTTTTGACTAATTCATAAATAAAACAAAATGAAAAAGACTTCGACATATTGCTTTTTTTTACTTGAAATCCTGTCCCAGGGAAGGGAGACGGCTACTGTGGAATATATACCGGCTAAGAACCGGGCGTCCTCCAGTGCCAGTTTCGCTTTTAGTGCCAGGGTCGCGAGTTCACATTATTCTATATTCTACCTCGACTGCGGTAGAATGAATACCAACTCCTGGTCTATCCTCCATAATAATACTCTGATTGGTCATGATTACTTCTGAGATTCATCATACATCGACTCCAACGAGCTGCCAGATAGCCTACCACTAGGATTCAGTTATACCCAGCGTAAAGTGGTTATATCAAGCGTCTTTCATTATCACTAATTTTAACCTTCGAATGTCCGTCGTCGGTCGCAGCGACCGTGATGAAGCGGTACGCGCACACCAGCTGTATTTTTTCAAATGAGTTTCAATCTTATTTTGTTTTAAATAAGGATAAAATTGGTTAAATAGAGGTTACGGTTTTGCGGGCACAGATCTGTGACAAAACGGTAATACGGTTTAAGAGGGGTGCACAGATCTGTGTCAAAATGTACGAATGGTTAATGCAACGACGACAGATGATAATGCTTCTCAGTTCTTCTATTAGGATAAGCGAATAGACAAAGGCGAACATATTCATGATATCATCCGACGTTTCTTATGTGAAATCTACATGATCGTATTATTTTTATTTTTTTTATTGGCTGTTAAGCGTGCTATTTGTTCAATTCGTTTTATTTTATGCATAACGTATAGTATAGTTTTAATTTAGTTGCGATTTTTTGTTTTATTGGAGTGGCGTTTTTATTCTGAATTTTAAGTTTCTAATCGTAAACTTTGTAAGTTGAGGTTCACTGAAATGATTAGGTTAAGAGACACTGAAATGCAGCTTACAAAGCAAGATACTTGGCTACTGAAATACGTGAAACTGAAATACACACGCAGGCGACTTTACCCTCGTTATAAAACTATTAGAAAGTTCTATGTAAAAATTCTTATATGATTTTTTCTTATTTGAACTGAACTATAAAAATATTATTTTTATTTAAAGTTTATTCTTAAGCATGCGATTCGTTTATTTGATTTTATTTATGCTAGCGCATGTATTTTAATGTGTTTTTTTATGAAATCGTAGTGGCAAACAAACTGAAGATTTGATGGTATACGTTACACAGCCAGCCTATATTCATGTACAGTACTACAAGCATCACATACGATGACTCCTGTCATACCACTCATGTATTGTTGTTCCAGAGGACAAAGATATCATCCTGTAATTTCACTGCCTAATCGCACCCTTCTAAACACCCTTCCTAATCTATACATATAAATAAAATTGGAGTGTCTGTTTGTAATATTGAAATAACCGTTTTTTACTGCATGCATATGAATATAAATACGGTAGATACATCACAATATCATTTGTTACAATTTTTGTCTGTCTGTCTGTTTGTTCCGGCTAATCTCTGAAATGGCTGGACCTATTTTAAAGGGACTCTTTTTGGCAGGTAGCTGATGTAATAAGGCTTTTTACGGGACTTTGTTTGCCTGATGTAATAAGGAGGAACTTAGGCTACTTTTATTTTAGAAAAATAAAGTTAAATTCCACGCGAACGAAGTTGCGGGAATGGCTATACAATATATAAATGTACGAACGTGCGAACGTAGAAACGTAACGAACTTAACACCTAACGTTCTCTACCAGTCAACCATAAGGCAAACTGAGAAGGTAGTAAGCGGCGCATTATAGAACAAACACTTACGTGATAACTCTTTTCTTATTCATTCAATTCATGATTATAAAGATATAAGTCTATGTCCATGTCCAGAAGTACTGGGTCCGCATCAGTGCAGTGATGTCCAGCGTCTCTGGAGTAACAATCCGACATATTTGCTATGGTATCTTGTATATAAAATTCTCGTGTCACAGTTTTCGTTCCCATACTCCTCCGAAATGGCTTGACCTGATGAAATTTTGTGAGCGTATTGAATAGATCTGAGAATCGGCCAACATCTATTTTTCATCCCCCTAAATGTTAGGGGTAGTCCACCCCTAATTTTTTTTTTATTTTAAGGCAAAACAACGTTAGCCGGGACAGCTAGTATATGTATATATATATTACTTACAGCTTATTGGATGACTACATGACTGCTATTGAAGGGGTCCGGGAGTTCCTAGCCATGCGCTCATCCCCAAACAAGCATTTGTTTATTGGTGAACTGTCAGCTGGTTCAGAGGTAAGTCACATTAAAATATTAGGTACTCGCTCCGGCTTCGCACAGTTTACATGTATTACATATATAAAAAATCCTCTACAATCACTCTATCCATTAAAAAAAACCGCGTCAATATCCGTTGCGTAGTTTTAAAGATTTAAGCATACATAGGTACAGACAGCGACAGCGACTTTATTTTATACTATGTAATAATGATGATGCTAACGGTTTGAATAATAATTCACACAGCGCCATGAGAAAGTAAGCAAAGCTTGTTTTATGGGTACTAGAGAAGTTATATAAATAGTTAAATACATTTTTTTTGGACCACAATATCCACATCATATACTCGTATATAGAAAACACCCAGACCTATATAAACAGTCATGCTCATAAACATAAATGTTTGCATCATGAGAGGAATAGAACTTGCGACCATCGGATCACCAAGGCAATGTGTCCAAAAGGACATTAAAATATACGTACACCCTTCTACCATCAACCCCTATTTATTAATAGCGATGCTTGTACTTTAATAATTTATTTCTCTCGGTTGTCGATAACTCATTAATTTATATGACAAAAGAATATACATATACATAAATACATAATCTATATATACTAGCTGACCCGGCAAACGTTGTTTTCCAATCATGATTAAATAGTATAAAACAAAGTCGCTGTCGCTGTCTGTCCCTATGTATGCTTAAATCTTTAAAACTACGCAACGGATATTTAGGGGGGTTTTTTAATAGACAGAGTGTTTCAAGAGGGAGGTTTATATATATAACTGATTTAAATACACTCGTGCGAAGCCGGGGCGAGTAGCTAGTTATATATATATAATGATATTTTCAGGGTTTATAAAATAAACTAAAATTTGTTTCTCTGTAAACAAAGAAATGTTTTATTTAATTTTAAACCACTACAATTATTTAACACTGTAATAATGAATCACACATATAACTCACCTGTAAACAAAGAAACGACATTTAAAGTTTATTACAATTATTATTTAACTATTACTGTCTTTTTATAATATATTTTATATAACCTTATTCACGCACACTTGTTTTTGCACGATCCATTTTTATGTTATTTCTATTGACAGCTCCCTTTGACACTCCTTGCGCACTCACAGCGCTGAACGCGCCAAAATTTGAATTGTTGAAATATTTAATTATATTATTATAAAGAATTTCTTTATATATATATATATATATATATATATATAACTATGTATACTAATGAATATATCAAATTCCAGTCTTTCAACCCGAAGATGGACCACTTGACCTGCTTCCTGCCTGGTACATTGGCGCTCGGCCATGCCAACGACCTCCCCGACTGGCACATGACCATGGCTGAGGAGTTACTCTACACATGTTACCTCACATATGCAGTACATCCCACATTCCTGGCGCCGGAGATTACGCACTTCAATATGGTGTGTTTATGTATATAATAACCATCAAAAACATAAATGTGAAATCATAGCCGAGTTCAATATTATGATATGTGCTTTGATTGTTGACTTCGACGACAAAAGAAGTGAAATCTAAATGGGTGCCAAGTTCAATAGTCTGTCCTGAAATGTATTTATAACAATATAAAATGTCATTTCTTCTTATAACTTAGGATAATATATTGTAGCCTAAGGTCTGACTTGGCTAGTTCTCATATACCAATTATTACTTTCTATGGCTAGTTACTACTAATAATAAAATAGGAATCGATAAGTAACAGGTTTAGAACTTGCGAAGGCTACAGTATATTTTGTATATGAAAACTAGCCAAGTCAGACCTTAGGCTGTTAATATCTAAATAACCGTTTGAGATATGTTTCTGAAATTTGGAATACATATTTATCTCGCAAGTCTTAATATATGAACCAAATTTGACAGGTTTATGTGAAAGAGTTTTTGAGTTATGAGGGGGTATAAAGTGGCTCCAAATGGTTCGTGTAAAACTACACACGGTGCTGCTCGCCAGTTCTCTTACTTGAACTCGGCTTTGACACGCTCCCGCGTGTCTAGATAATAATAATCTCAGGACAATTCACACAGCGCCATCTAGTCCCAAGTTAAGCTTGTGTTATTTTTTCGTAAATACATACATATTATACATAGAAAACACACAGGCTGGTACAAACCATCACGCCCTTGAATACAACTGTTTGTACCGTGCGAGGAATCGAACCCGCGACCAAGGGGAGTAAGGCGGTGTGCTAAAAACGCTAGACCATCGAATCCGTCAATTTAGACAGTGGACTAATTAACTAAACTATTATATATTTATTACATTTTGACTTATGAGGGACTAAAATTTTGAAAAGATCCCATTTAAAAAACATGATTAATTATTTCTAGGTTTGGCATGACAAATTTAAAATTGCATATAAACTAACATATAAAATTCTCGTCTCACAGGTTTCGTGTTTATACTCCTAAACTAAACGGCTTGACAGATTTTGATGAAATTTTATATGTATGTTCAGTAGGTCCGAGAATAGGTTTATAACAAATTTTTATACCCATAAGCGTTAAGGGTGGGTCACCCCCAAAAATTTGTTATTATTTTTTTCGACAATTTTATTTATTTTTTATAATGTGGCATTAAATAATATATACAGCCCTGAATTTTCACCCTTCTACTAACAACCGCTATTTTTTAATAGCAATATTTATTTATACAACAAAACATCTTTTGCCATGACAGCTAGTTACATATAAAAAAGTTATAATATTTTTTAATGTAATATTTCAGGCAAGTGCAACAAACGATATGTACACAAAAACAGCTGACGCCCACAATCTGTTACGACCGGAATTTGTCGAGAGTCTGTGGTATATGTATCAGATTACTGGCAACACTACGTACCAAGAGTGGGGATGGCAGATCTTCCAGGTCCACAATTATTTAATTTTCTATGCATTAATGGAGTAAAATGTGATATATAGGTTATGTTACAACACGGATTTGGTACCTCATCTTGTTTATTTATGTTGGTTGCTGTTCGAAGTATGATATAGAGTAATATCTTACTAATATTATAAACGCGGAAGTTTGTGTGTTTGTGAGTGTGGATGGATATTTGTTACTCTTTCACGTAAAGCTATAGCATATGTGTTATTCTGATATACAAGCTGTATTACTGTATAGTGTCATCAAAATCTGATCAGTAGGATTTTCATGACAAACACACACATTCTGTAATGATAGATAGATAGATAGATAATTGATTTATTGCCAACATAACACAAATAATACAATTTACAATAAGACACAAAATAAGAAATAAATAATAACTTAGAAGTTGGTAATAGGAGCTGCCTCAGCTGTTGCTGATATAAGCACAACCTTAATGAGGTGTACCTATACAGCTCTGGTTTTCAGGCAGCCCCCATTACTCATAAAAAAAAAACCTAAAATGCGGGTTTTTTACTACATACAGATACATATAATTTAAATAAAAAAAATATATTAAATAAGGTCTAGGATACACAAATATAAATATATATAAAATGATAATATAGCTTATATATCAGAACACGTGCTATAATTTAAAAGATATTATATAAATTGGGCAAAATATAATAATTAATGTCAGGTAAGTGAATTCAGGTCGAATTTGCGCGATATTATAATCATCATCATCATCATCATCATCGCAGCCCGGAAGACGTCCACTGCTGGACATAGGCCTCCCCCAAAGATCTCCACGACGATCGGTCCTGCGCTGCTTGCATCCAATGCCTTCCAGCGATCTTGACCAGATCGTCGGTCCACCTTGCTGGAGGCCATTCGCTATTATAATATGTCATGATAATTGACATAGGGTTATCTAGTCCCAAGTTAGAGCTAGAGCTTAGTTTTATGGATACTAGATAACTGATAACTGAAATACATAATTATAACTTTTATAAATACATTCATAATATGTATAGAAGACATTCAGAAAGGTACATGTAATTATACTCATGATGTTTGTGTCGTGCGAGGAATCGAACCTGCGACCATAGAAAAGTAAGGCGGCTAAATCGCTAGACCACCGAGGCCGTCGGTACAAATATAATAGGTACTCTCTAGTCAATGCTATTATTTCAAATTAAAATGCTGTTGTGATAGATGCAACAGAAATGTTGAAATGGATTTGTGGTGTGTATGGTTGTAATAAACCAGTTGGCTACCGATAAATCCGGTAAGAATGGTTAATTAACCGAGAGCGACAAAAAAGGGTAAATAATGGCGTCTTTTTATTGTATAGTGAACTCCTATGTAAAGGGAAAAATCAATATACGAAGGAAACACATTCATACAGTATTTATATCAGTTGTCTATTGCTCATAATACAAGCCTTACTTATTTATTTGTTAAAACTTTGATGCACAAATACGTAAAGAAAGGTGCACATGGAGGACTTAACACTTATCTGTGAACTAGATGTAGCTGTGGGAATTATTATGAGATATTATTATGGTCATTAACTAACTAATTATTTTCGTACAAAATTTCAGAGTTTAGAGAAATATGCAAAAGTGCCAAACGGTTACACATCTTTGGCCAACGTGAAATCAGATAAACCACTGCAACGTGACATGATGGAATCATTCTTCTTGTCGGAGACACTCAAGTACTTGTATCTGCTGTTCAGCGAGGATAGATTCATGATCGATCTGAATAAGTATGTCATCAACTCTGAGGCTCACCCGTTACCAATACACAAAAACTAATATACACTTCCAAAGAAACGTGATAAGACCGAGTTATAATTCTATTATTTACCACGAACATTACCGGCTCAGCGTTTTGATATAACAGATTCAATTCAATGAAGTTTTTATACAACAGGACAAATAATATATATGTTTTTCACTCACATTAAAATTAACGTTTAATTACATCAAATTGAAATCAGTGTGATTTTTACACAAAAGGACTTAAGGAAATAAACAATACAGTATAAAATATAGATATATATCGACACGGAAATACTTTTAAAATATACAGTTTTAATATTTTCTTGTGATTGTGTAATATTGTGATAAACAGTTGTGTAATCCAAATTATTGTATAGCATCTTTATAATATACCCCCCGTATCTATAAAAACTATACCTATATTTGAAGTATTAAAGTATTTTTCGATTAATTCGAATTAAGAAAATAACTCCAATGGTAAGTACACATTATATAAACAATATATTTGCTTTGATAATATTATTTATGAGATCCCAATATTTCGATGTTGATGCAAAGGTACGGGTCAATTGCATTTCGGGTTTTCTTTACCAGGAGCTCATAAATAATATGGTAAATATCCCGTGGTATATAAAGTGTACGATGGCAACCGTGAAAAAAAATGAAACAAAGACAAAATAAATAACTAAGAAGATTTTATCATTTGATGTTTTTATAGATAAGAGGGTTTATATCAGAGTTTTATACATATTAAATTCATTCGTTTGAGCTATTAATATACATATATAGAATACAGGCGTTTTACCTTACAATAAAACGCTTATTAAACATACTTACCTTATTCGAAACCCAATAAAACATGAGAGTAGCATTTCCGTTTCCGCTTTCTGAGAATATAGTGCCTATCTCTTCTGACTAATATTTCTGTCCCTTTCTCTCTTTTCCCTACCACTGCCACCACCAGCGCCATCTAGCGAGCTAAGTTTAGAGGGAGCGATGTTTTATTGTTCATTGGAGGCGAATGTTTTCCACCTGGCAGTATTTAAAAATATTGGGTTTCGAATAAGGTAAGTATGTTTAATAAGCGTTTTATTGTAAGGTAAAACGCCTGTATTAAACAACTTGACCGTTATTCGAAACCCAATAAAACATGAGAAGTGTCTGTTATCGCCTGGTGGTGGTATATGTAAACGCCAATGTGACTATGTATATATATATATATATATCTAAAGAAATGTAACTTTATATGAATAGGAATAAGAAACAATTGCAGGATCTAGGTGACCCAAAGTTCCAAGATTGAAGAATAAAATAAAAAATGATTTTATCATAGACGTTTACTTAATAGAATTAACAATTACAACAAAATATTTATACTCATTTTAATTGATATAATCGAACCAAAATATAATCTTTCCAATCACTGCATTATTGTACTAAAATTTATTTATTTACTGGTCTGAATAAACGCGTAATCAACTGACTATTTCGTGATGAAATTATTTCTCGGCGGTAAAATTGTGTAAAGGTATTTTCTGATCGCCAGTTTCCTCGTGCAAGAATATCATCCATAGCAAAATTTTCTGCCCAGTTCTTAGAAGCTACAGCTGATCGGAAGCTTCCTGGGGTGGCGTCGATACCGGCTTTTTCAGCAGCTTTTTTAGCCATCCCCCAATGACGGTGGTCGAAGCTGGTTTAGTTAATCTTGCTGTAGTAAGAAATAAATCGTTGTAATTAGTCGTATTTCTTCTTGTTGCCGAAAGCTTTATTAGTTGCTTTATCCAATGAACAGGATCCAGAGCCCTATTTTGTTGATTTGTCAGTAATTTCCAACCTGATTGTTGATAACTAACTGTATCCGTTTTGGAGCCATAGACGGGAATTAATATAACATCATCATCTGAAACTATGCAGTGTTCATTAGATATTCTTAACAATGTCAAATCATGAACGCGTCGTCCAGAGCATAGAAGCAAAATCGCTGCTGTTTGAGCAGATGTTTCATACAAGCTAATGGTATCAGGGTTCTGTTTCGCCAAGAAGTTGGTTAAGATATCTATATCCCATGTTGGAAGTTTAGTTGGTTTTGGTTTAGCTAAAGCTATTGCTTTTAATATTTGTTTCACAAGAAAGTGTGTGCTTAGTTTATCCCGCTTGTTTGGGCCGCAAAAAGTTGACACTACAGATTTGTGAACAAGTATAGTGCTATAGGCTAAGTTTTCTTTGTGATGTAGATCCGCTAGATATTTAGCCAAATCTGCACCTTGGAGTTTATTAAAGTCTATCTTATTAGCTTTTGACCATTTGAGCCATCTGTTCCATGCTGAGCGATACGTGTTTAGGGACGACGTGCGCCAACTAGAATTTAATAATGATATCTGTTCTTTCGTCCAGTCGTTGAGGTGTTGCGTCCACCCCCAAGTTTCCAGATCTCCAGACTCAGATCCTCTACATTTGGAGGTGGAAGGCCCGTAGAAACGTCGACTAGTATCTTGTTCAAGTGTTTTATTGTGAACGGAGCTGCTAAGGCTCTGGATTTCAGATCTGGTCGCCAGTACACTTTGTCCCACTTCGGTACTACCATAAGGTACAGTCCTCGAGCTCTGTTCAGATGTGTCAGGACTTTTGGGATGAGATAAGGAGGAGGAAATACCCATGCCAGAGGAAAGTCCCAATTCCGTCCCAATGCATTGTACATCTTCGCCTGACTGTCGTGTCTGTCGAGTGTGCAATAATTTTCTACGACATGAGCTGTCATTGACGCGAATAAATCTATTTGAGGTCTTCCCCATTTGGCAAAAACTATTTCTGTTAGTGCAGGCAATAGATGCCACTCTGGAGATACACGGTTCCGAGACAGTCGATCGGCGTCGCAGTTGTATCGCCCCGGTATATGATAGACTGTCATCTGAATATTGTGTTGATCCAATATTTGAAAAATATCGACCGTTATTTTCATCAAGGCTGATGACTTCGTCCCGCCTTCGTTGCGCAGATAGGACACAACTGTTTGATTGTCGCATTGTATCAGGAGACCGGTGTATCGAAGCTGATAGCCGTATTCGATTAGGACGTTCCGGATTGCTAACATTTCTTTTTGATTGCAATGTAAATAAACCTGTTCTTTTGTCCAGGTCCCTGCTATACTTATTTCGTCTAATTTTGCACCCCATCCCGCATCGCTTGCATCCGTTGTTAGGTAATGCGAGGGAAGTTCGGTGTGAATGGGCGTACTGTGGCTGCAATTGTTTTTCCACCATATTATTTCCATTAAGCTGTCTTGTGATAATGTAATTGTTCCCGTCTCGTCTAATTTCCAAAGCAGATTGAGTTGGGTTTGTAGGTGTCGGTAATTCAACCGACCCCTTGGTACCGCGAAGCTGGCAAAATTCAAGCTTCCGATCAATTTTTGAAGAGTCAAGATTGAAACTGTCTTTTTGGTTTCTGTTGCAGCCAAGAGATTTCTTATTTTCGTGATTTGCCTGTCGGGTAAGTGTTTTATATTTAGTCGTGTGCTCCAATTGATTCCTAGAAACTCGACGGATTTTTGCGGATGGAGAATGCATTTGTCCTTGTTTACATACCACCCGAGTAGCTTTAATGTCTGTAGGGTTAATGCAATGTGCTTCTTTAAAGTTGCTGGATCCTGATGGGCAAGAAGAAAGTCGTCCAAATAAATCAACAGCCGTACTCCGTTTTCGCGTAAGTATTGACCTATCCAGTTTGTGACGGATGCAAATGTTCTCGGTGCTGAGCTTAGGCCAAACGGGAGGCAAGTCATTTCGTATAATTTTCCTTCGTACATCAAGCGGAGGAACCTTCTGTGACCCACTGAAACTGGTATGTGAAAATACGCTTGATGGATGTCTATTTTGGCTAAAAAATCTCGAGGTTGTAGAAAGTCCGGCACTCGAAACACGTTTGTCAGTCTGAATTTGCCTGCGTGAACATACCGATTCAGATTTTTCAGATTGAAGATTGGACGGGGTGATCCGTCGCTTTTTAATCTCAGAAATATTGTGGAGATGAAGCTTGGTGAGTTTGGTACTGCTACAATTACACCTTGAGCCAATAATTTGTTTATGATGACAGACATTTTGCTCGATGTTTGCGTAATGCAATCTTGGAGAGTTGGCATACAAAGTGGAGGCTTTTTCATGAAAGGAATGCCGTAACCTTTTATAATTTTTAAAACATGGGCAGGAGCACCGAGGTATTCCCATTGAAGAACGTGATGTTGTAGGCATCCGGCAAAAAAGGCATAGTCAGTATTTTCTTGGGTTGCTCCGATCCCGGTGGGATACTGGGGAGCGTGTTCGTTGCCCTCTATTGTGTGGTATCTCGCCTTGATGCCCACGGTAGGCAGTGCCTCTTCGGGACTGAAATGTGTATCTCCTTGATTTGGCTCCTCTATTAGCTGAGGTATTTTTTGTAGAGCTAAACTGCTTCACTGGTGGTTTTTGCGTTTGTATAGCGCGGTGGTCGCGATTGGAATAAGAATCGTTCTGCGGTGCAGAATTGCGATCCTTCTGATTGTTCCAGAAGATGCTCTTTGTACCTCCGGCCTTCTCTAGAACAGCGCTGAATTTTTCCGCTTCAAAGAGATTATCTATTGACGGCGGTATACGACGAAATGCGCTTTTATGAAAGGGATCTTTTACCGAGGCTAGGATCGTCTCTCTTCGTTGCTGAATTATTTCGGCCCTGTGACCGCAAACCAATTGTAATGCATCACTTGAGGCCTTCATATATTCTCCGTTGGAAAATATATTGTTGAGTTTCGAGTGTATTGACTCATAATTAACGTTTTCGGTTTCGTGAACCCAGTTTAAGAATAAGTTTATCTCATTCTGTAACGCATCGCGCTGTTTCAATAGAGCATACGTTAAACCAGCAAATGCTCTTTCCATATTAGAGGCGGTCCGTGAAGTATCGTACCTGGTGATCTCGTCATTTGCTCGTAAGTTTACAAAGCCTGGTTGATGCACGTATTGTTTTTGCACATCCGCGTAACGAACATTCACCCATTCTTCGTTATTGAAACGCTGCAATAGCTTTAATTGTTCCACGTATGCAGGCGGTGCCTGTGGTACGTGAGGTTCCTTTGTTTTTGTTGTAAGCAATATGTTGAACTCTGTCCGGCTACCGTTGGTAAGCGCGGGTTCATTGGATATAGCTGTATCCGAAAGAGCGGTTGCACCAGTAAAGTTACCGCTGGATTCAGCATAATTGTCATCGCAATATAAATCTCCACTCACATTTGCGTCAATACCGTTATCACACTCGTTATGATAGATATTTTCTGCATTAGCAGTGTATGACTGGCTAACCTGTTGTTTAAGTTTAGAAATTTCGTTAAATAATTGATCGAACTTACGGTTTTTATTCTTCTTCCTTCGTTTTGTTTTGCGTGATTTCCGACCCTTACAATCACTGCATGACGAAGAAGAGCTCGAATCCTCTGATGAGGTGTTACTATCAGATGATTCAGATAATCTTTGTGTTTTTCTTTTATGTCTCGATTTACCATTCACAGGTGGTTCATTTGAAGCTTCTTCGTTACCTTTACTAGTGGATGGTATCGGATTATCCATTATAATATTTTATTTCGAACGGTAATACCGTTTAAGTCCCCTAGAAAAATAGATATATTAAATAAACCAAATTTACACAATTGTAATGATTAATACACCTAAACTAATAAAACTTGTGGGTAGGTACAGAATTGTAATAACCAGTACACGATTTACTGATTAATATATCTGAAATAAACCGTAACTGTGATTACAAAAATAATAATAAAATATGTGGGTAGATTCTTACTTATATTAAAGGTACACGATCCAATATTTCAACTGAGGCACTAACTGAAGTCGTCGAGCTATTAGTAGCTGCCGTCTGCACTCAACGGGAAACTTAACGCCAATGAACAATAAAACATCGCTCCCTCTAAACTTAGCTCGCTAGATGGCGCTGGTGGTGGCAGTGGTAGGGAAAAGAGAGAAAGGGACAGAAATATTAGTCAGAAGAGATAGGCACTATATTCTCAGAAAGCGGAAACGGAAATGCTACTCTCATGTTTTATTGGGTTTCGAATAACGGTCAAGTTGTTTAATAAGAAATAATCTAATGTATTGAAACTTGATATCTGAATACCATTGTATATTAACGTATGTATACTCGACCGATATTATCTTATTTGGATCTCGATTGTGTAGTGATTTAAGCCACTGCCTCATGTGATGATCATGAGTTTGATTCCCGCATTTGCATTCATGTGTCTTTTTGTATTAGTCTGGGGTTATTTACTGGTTTATATATGATAATTAAAAAAATATTAATGTATGTCTATGAATTGTCTACTATTGATATAAGCTCTGCTTATTTTGGGAGTAGACGACGCCGTGTGATATGTGTAGGTTTATTTAATATTATACATTTTAGCATTTTTGTCCTAGTTAGTATAATATCCAGTTTGACTGGTTAAAGTAATATGTTAATATATATATTACTATACTATTGTTATACAATAATAATAGTAGTATAATAAATCATATTGTCTGTAGAAACAAAATAGTACAATTGTGAGAACACCAAAATTTTTATATAATGTGACCAGAAATTGACTGGGGTGTCAGATATACAGCTTATACAATTCATTGCGTATAACCCGCTAAATTTTAGTAGGCCTGTCACACTGAAGGCGTAATAATCACAATACTATACTCTTAATTTAATTGGCTATACGAAATGACATTAATGTATACATAAACAACATTTCTAACACCCCTAATAGAAAATCGTGTAATTTTTATCTCTATTACAATTATTTTACGTTTTAAAATCGCATTACGCTATTAATTATTTATCATGTATATAAATTATGTAATAATTATTTTAAAATATGCACTAGTTAGTCAATTCAAGTATGTAGTAACGAATTAGGCAAGACGTTGCGAGCACTAATTTGTTATTAAAAAAATAGAAACGTTTAAACGGGTTGTTGTGTAACGTAATTATTAATTATAGTGATCTATTTAAATCGATTAGTCCACGATAATGTATGAACAATTTTAGTATTGCAATATCAAACAGAATTGTACCGATCGCAATTTAAATTCTGAAATTTGTAAATAAATTTGCAATAGACATAGAAATGATCTTTATTAAAAAAAAAATTTTTTTTTTATTCTACCACTCATTAGACACGCTGACTTATCACAAGAAGCATAAGGAAATTATTTATACGTATAATTTGGTAAAGCCCCAGTTTACCCGAAATCATGGCGGTTGAAACACTGCTGAATTATCGGGAACTCATTATAAATAAAACATCGTAAGATCCAGTGATGTTTACTAATATTACGTATAAATAATAACCCGTCAAATTTAAATCAGTGTATAAGGAGATTATTGGTCTAATGGTACGTTTACACACAGCCCAAGTGGGCAGGAAAGTGAGCAGCGCGAGAGTGTAAACACGATACTTCCAATGCCACTCGCATTGCCCGGCGCTCCCTCTATTGTCGGATTTTCCTGCGCGAGTCAAAGGACTGGCAGCGCGAGTGGCAATGTGTGTACATTCAGCACTCTCGCTCAGTTGTCGCCGGCAATATTTCCGGCAGCGTGACTGGCGGGGGAAGCGGCTGAATGTAAACGTAGCAAACTGTTATATGAGAATTTTATAAATTGCGTTACACAATGAACAACCTGGACGTAATGTGAAGAACGTTAAAACATTTGGGCCGTTATACTGTTTAATGGAAATTCAAAACTAACGACTTCTCTGCATTAATCAATTTTTAATGAATTCCATACATGTTCCTATATTGACTGTCAGCTTTGAGCTCACAAAGAATAGTTACTAATACTAACAGATTTTTATATAAATATTTTCATATACATTTATATTTGAAATGATACTACCCATTTGCAGTTATAAGTACTTACATTAAAACGAATTTACGAATTCATTTCATTCCTGTAACATTTATTCTATTATATTATTAATAACAATTATTATTCTATTATTAACACTATTTATTGATTATGTAATATTATTAATTAAATAATAATAATGTGAATGATATATTTAGATTTACTCTACAACGTGTTTTACGTATTTATCATATATTTTAATTTTAAATTTAATTACTTTTTTATTACTATGATGATGTAAATTAATATTGTGATCTAATATTTATTGATGATGTATTGAAATCAGGAAATTTATTGCTAGCTATTATAAATCACAGTATACATTTAAGAAGCATTTAAAGAGTATTTACTTGCATTTAATTACATGTACAATTAAATAGAGATATAAGAAAGTTTTCCGTTTGTATTCAAAGTACAAACTGCTCATTGACAATATCTAAAGTTGTACAGATTTTTAGTATTATGTCATACAATTATATTTATAGATAATGGAATGCTGGATAAACAGTTTTTTAAGTATGGACAATATGTTTCGCTACTGAAGTATCGGTATTTAATCATTCTAATTTAACTTTATAAATACAATTCTCAATATTTATCTTGATTTCTTAAAAAGGCTCTTAGTGAACTGTTACTTTAGTCATGCAATGACATACGCATTAAATAATAGTAAAAATAGATTTTTTTTTAAATGGAATAGAAATTCATATGTTACGGATGCATTTAACTTAATAATCTCGCTTTAGTTTACTACCCTCATAAATCTCTGTTTCCCTCGTTGTTATGCTTGACTGGAAGAATATTTTTAGTATACTTGTGTGTGAATTAAAGTTTTAATAAATAAATAATTATTATACCAGATGGATTAGTCAGAGGTAATGCAGGTTAAATATCGTGATGACACTTGTTACCCGATATAGTGGTGGGAGTGCATTATTATATAAAATAGCTTTGCACGGATGCATTACAAATTTTTGAATTTCTTGGCTTGTTCTATACTAAAACACGCATATATTATAGATGTAAACCTTTCTCTTGATTCATTCTATCTCTTGCTGAGAACTGCATTAAAACCCATTGTGTAATTTAAAAGATATAAGCTACTTTATACTATGTAAAGATATATTATATAATATTTTCAAATATATGTATAAAACATTGCTTGATTAACGTCATAGTTCACTTCTATAATATATAATATAATTCTGCATAGTAAGTTATCGCACCTTCGCTCAAATAGTATATTGTAAACAATTTCATAATATAACTTTTTTATACGAAAGAGATTTAAGTAAACATTGAGTGTGGCCTTACCCCATTACATAAGTGAAACCCCTACACAATTCCATAAGCCGTTTCTGTGATTTACGTGTACATACAAATAAAAGTTGTAACAAATATCAACATAGTTTTTTAATACTGACACTATTTGAGCAGGGTGTGTTTTAAACATGAAGTAATTTAAGTATTGAATTTATCGATTGTAAAAGCGAAACATCAGTAAGAAACGTTTTTAACACATATTTTAAAGTTATTGGGACTTGTAATAACAATATTGGCCTTCGGAGCTGAACGATGCTCTACCGGCTTTGCATTTAATATACTCCATTTTTATACTAAAAAAATATTTTATATTATATACAGAAATATTATACAGGCGATATTTCTACAGATCTTATTAATTATAATAATACAATTATTACATGTAAATAATTTTAATATTTAAGTGTCTTACATATAATATTGTAGTCATTTAATATAACTGTAAATATATGAACGCCTCTTAATGTGTGTATATACATATATAAATGTAATATATAAGAGTATTATTATGACTTTTAATAACAAGCAGTAAGTCTTCGTAAATGTGCTTTATAGTGTCCTATTCTTTGGTGAATTTGTATAGTTATCTCCCGCACCATTATTAACATAAGATATTTATGTTATTTTAAATACTCCTATATTAGTATATTTAGATTTTTAGTGAATCTTTGAAGATGAAAAAAAAATGGCGACATTGCTATTTTAAGTTTGACCGCTGCCATTTTGTTTTGAATAGTGTACGTCACTCTTTTGATAGGTCAATGTGCAGCCTTTAGCATATAGCGTATGTCTTATAGTGCAACTGAGCATCGAGGGGTACTCGACTTGCAAATATGATTTCTAGGCAGTGAACATATGGTCTTGGTTTTATGGCCATCAGGTCTAAATGTGTGTGAAATATACCTTTTTAAATAAATCGATTATAATTATTATTAATTAACCGATTTTTTAGAATATAAATCTTTGTTTTTAATTAATTATTTTGTTCCCATTCTTAATGACGGCTTCGGCTGTTTAGCGGTATAGCACACGGCTCTCGGGTTCTATTCCTCGCACGATACAAATAGTATTCATGGGTGTGATTGTGTTTATAGGTCTGGGTGTTTTCTAGGTATATTATATATGTATTTACCAGAAAATGTATCTCTGTATTTTGTAAGTTATCTAGTACCAAAAACACAAACTCTGCTTAACTTGAGACTAGATGGCGCTGTGTAAATTATCCAGATATATTACTATTGTAGTCGCCGTGTCGTCCCGTATATATATTTGAATAGGGATTACTAAATATTTTCTCCAATTAGTACTTTTATTTGAAAATGAAATTACTAGATTACCTGCAGAAATAAATTAAATAGTATTGTATCCTTCTTCATCACAAACACTTGTGCTGTCATATAGGATACATAGATAGAATTTCCTACTCATTAAGCAGTCAAGATAGCCAGAGGTTTTTATTCTCGTCCACTTTTGAAAGAGTACCTTTGGTTTTATGACGATTGTCCATATTGTCCTTTGCTATTGAAATCTTTGCAGTAAGCCTTCATCTGGTACGGTTTCAGACTGTGCTAGAACATTCCATTGACAAACTCATACAACAGACA